GGCTATGGAAATCATATGTATGATGTTTTGATCCTTGGACCGGTAGCGGAACCGTAGGTGGTCTGATGCTAGACTTTCTTCTACTCGGAGTACGTAATCGTAGTTGCGATTGAAGCAAGAGTTGTAGTCGGAACCGGAGTGGGGCCATAGCGTTATAATATGCCAATAGCCGCCGTAACCATCGTAGTCGTGATCGCAATCGGAAGTGGAAGTGCAAATGCATGCGGTCCTGGGTGAGAGGCCTCACCAATACGGATTCCATGTAATGGCGAAAAGTGGTAAGTGAGTAGCACGCCCGGACCACATAATTTTCGTATGCATTTGTCCATTGCACGTAGAATCCATGTCTGCATGTATAGTACACCGCTAGTGCATACGTACCGCTGATACCATACGAGACACATTTCCGAATCTTGCCATCCAAAATAAGGTGGAATCTCACGCGGTAATAAAGCTCAGGCCCTTTCCATGTACGCTGGATTGTCGTAAGCGTCGATGCCGGCGTAAGTACATATATTTGGTAATTGTCGTAATTGTCGGCACTAATGTATGCGTAGACGTTGGTATTAGCACAATTGTTGTTGTTACCGCTGGCGTTGGTGCGGACATAGGCGTAGATGCTGGTGTTGGTACCGCTGCTGGTGTAATCGCTAGCGTTGGTACGGATGTAAGCGTAGACGTTGGTGTCGATGTTGCCGTCGGTACTGGTGTTGGCATCGACATTGTTGCGGTAGTTGTCGTAGGTCTCGGCGCCGACGTATGCGCAAACGTCAGCATTGGCACCGTTGTTGATGTTGTCGATGGCATTGGTGCGGATGTAAGCGTAGACATTAATATTGGCGTCAATGCTAACGTCGGCGTTGGTGTCAACGGCAATGTAAGCGTTGTCGTAAACGTCGGTGCCGATGCTCACGTCGACGCTGCCGTCGATGCCGGTATGGTCGGTGCCGTAGGCATCGGCGCTTGCGTATACGTGGGGTGCTGCTGTACCCGGTAATACGACCCATCGCACATTGAAGTCTTCGCATACGGCCCAAACCAAAACCCAAGCCCAAAATCGTTGGCTCAAGAACTGGCTCAAGGCTTCGCGAGCGCTCCGCCACACCTATCCTCTTCTTCCTACATCTCTTTCCTTTCTACACCCATTATACGCAGAGATTGCTTGATTTCTGGTGCTCTTCCCGTGTGACGGTACGACGATCCAATGGCATGGGTTATCAATCTCATCAGTCGAGTACCGTAGGGAAATGTGGCCAACGGGGCGTTTCACTCAGCGCAGTTCTTGGGTGGTGTGGCTGCATCTGCTATGCAGGGCGGTTGGGCATTCATGGCAGCGTTGCCCCAAGAGTGCCATTCAGCGACTGTGCACGCAGCACTCGTGTGCCAGGGCCACAACATGCAATACGAAATGGTGCCAGGCTTCGGCCCGTTCGCTTTGAGTTGGGGGTGGATGCTTCTCGGCGGAGGTCTTGGTGTCATCATTGGTGTTACGACCACGGTCATCATACTGTCTTTGTGGAGGTGCATCCACGGGGATGCTGTACAAACCCAAATAATCACACCACAAGACCATTCGAAATTGGCACTTATCAGGTATGTGCAACATGGAGGGCGCCCTGCACCCAGGGAGCTTGCGCACGAGTCTGGAATGTCAGAGGCCGCATGGTTGTATCATTTGGTGGGCATCCACGGCTTGCACGGACCTCATGTACAGCCGGGTGCACTACAAAATCTGGCGGGGATCCACGGCGCGCAGGGACACGGGGGGCAGGTACAGCTTGGGGCCTTGCATCACCAAGCAGGGACTGTCGGTGCACAGGGACGGGATGCAGCAGCAGCCGGGGGCACTACTACAACAGCAAGTGGGGATGCATGGTGCGCAGGGGCAGGGTGTGCAGCTACAGGCAGGTGTATTTCAATAGTGCGCGTGGTGTTGCCAGTCAGGGGACCAATTGTTAATGATGACGATAATAAGTATGACAATAATGCGTCCGTCTTTCCGACTACTGTTCTTATCTCTCCGACTCCGGCTCTCATCTCCACGAGTCCGGCTCCGACCACCTGTCCGACTCCGGCCCCCGTCTTCCCGACGTTTGTTCCTACTCGTGTTTCCGACGCCAGCGCGTATTCCACTTCATCGGCCCTTCGATCCCGCGCTACCGATCTGACCGTTCCCTGTCGCGCCCGACGTGACCGAGTAGGAGGGCAACGAAAAGGTTTGTATGTCATTGGAGGTTGTTTTTACAAAGCTTGGGCGATGTCAGAACACGCATTCTGGCAACGATTGAATCGATGCCCACGCACTGTCCTTCTCGTTTTCCAGGTTGCATTCGAGCACGGGACCGTTGATCTCCTTAGCACGGCGTACTACATCCTGTTATACCAGATCAAACCGTTCGCAGGGAAGCGGATTGGTGAAGCCACGAACCCGGGACCGACATGCGATATCATCATCCGGATTGTCACGACGCGGCTTGCGATTCCGACTCCGGCTCCGACTCCGGCGTTTTTTTTTCCGACTCCGGGTCGTCCGATTCGGCCGATCATGCCGAATCCGGCTCTTCCGACTCGTGCACATCTTTCTCTGGTTTCGGTTCCGACCCGCGCATATTCCACATCGGCATTCCCCTTCGTTTTCCGTTCTTACCAGGAGTGTTAAGGTTTATCTCAGGACGTTCGACAAAGACGACGCTTGTTACGACTCCGACTCCGGCCCCAACCCGTTCCATTTCTTCTCCGACCTCGGCCCCAGTGTGTCCGACTCCCGCGGACCTCCCCACCTCTGTGTTGTATTTTGTACCACCACATTCAAGTCCAGCCGCAGGTGCATCGACAAAGCCGACCCCCGCATCTACGACCAATGAGTACGCAAAGGTACACAATATGATAAGATTTGCCGTGGTTGCGGTTTTCTTGGATTGGATGTCGCATCAGGTCCACGACGAGATCGACGGGGGGGACAACCAATTAATCAAAACGGATTCCGACAATAATCCTCTTGAGAGTTACGACGGCAATAACCGTAGAATGCCCACGCTGGAGCTCCATCAAAGTTTCCGAGAAAAGCTCCCATGCCGTTTCCCATCGTCCCATCGCAATTTCCTTTTTTTTTATTTTTTTTTTTTTTTTTAAAAAAAAAAAAAAAAAAAAAAAAAAAAAAAAAAAAAAAAAAAAAAAAAAAAAAAAAAAAAAAAAAAAAAAAAAAAAAAAAAAAAAAGGTTTTCAACTATGATTCAGGCACCGACTCCAGCTCCGACGCTTGGTACGACTTACAATGCGGATCAACAGAATTTATATGTTCTTGTTTCCCCCACCGCGCAGCGCCGCACACACACCTCCAAGTGCCAATCGCTAAGCGGGACTGGGGCGAAACAAAAGTTTCTGCGTAGCCCGGGGGTGGCTAAGGAGGAGGGGTGGCTAAACAGAATTATAGGTCATCATGGTTTACTGTGGTTTTCCGTTTCCCAGGGGCTCCTATGGCATATCCACCAGCAGGTCCCAAGAAGGCCTGATTGCGGCGTCGACTCTGTCCACTAGCATGTCCCAAAAAGGACCGACCCCGGCAACTCCGACTCCGATATTCAGGGGTTCCCACGGCGTATCCACCAATAGGTCTTTCTGAGATCACCGCGGTGGTTCTTATCTGGTTAGATCGGTTACATGTCTTTGTAAACGTTCATAACATATGTTATAACTCGTGACAACTAGTTGTAAACACGCTATCCTAGACAGAAACGCCCTAAACCAAACCTAACTGGAAAGGCTGTTCACATAAGTACCTTATCCTCGCGGGGCCATTTCGGATACTCATTAAACAGTTTACACCAACTTGGTTAAACAGGCGAGGGCAGATAGGCTATCCTAGATAGGGAAGGTTCACAATTGGTTTCTAACATACAGAACTGCTGCCCAAGAGTCCCCAAACTCGATCTCACAGGCCCAAGTTCGAGGATTCCAACCTTGGGGGTGCGGACACTCGAGGTCACCCAATCTGATGTTCGACTCAGGGGGGTCTTGAAAATAGAATACAATATTTGGGAAACAAACGGAGGGGGGGCGGAGGAGGAAGGAGGAGCAAGGAAGGATGGGATGCGTTATTTCTGTGGGTCTTGACGTTGCCACCATCACCCATAGCATTTGTTTCTCCTGAGTTGTTTCGTGTGCGCACCAGTCGTTCTGGGTGCAGCAACGTCTTTCGGAGATGGAGCAGGCTTTGGCGGCTGCGACGCCGATCCTTCAAGGCCTCATTTCGAAGGGCGCGGACGACGGCAACATGGGTTCGAGGATGAAAGCAAAAAACGAGCAGATCAAAATGCGTTTGCTGCACCACAATCTGGCATACTACATGAAGATGAAGACTGGAAGTGTCATCCCGCACAGCGAGAACAGAGATCAGCAGGGGCTGGACCCAGTAGACGCCCGCACGCTGCTGCAGCGCATCATGAGCCAAGGATTCGCATCGGCCGAGACGAAGCAAGCGTGCTGCTTCGAGATTGGCCCGAACAACAAGGACGCCCAACTGGCGTTCAACCGCAGACTGGTTGCGGAGGCAGAGGGCCTGATCCCACCGATCAACGAGTTGGACGTGCGAGGTCTCAGCGCGTCGTCGTCGCACACCAACGGCTCCCTCGGTGCGATCCTGTGCGATTGCGACGCGTTTTCGCAGGAGGAGCACGTGGAGGGCAAGATTTCTAAGGAGAGGGTCCGTTGATCTCCAAACCTTCCAGCCTGCACCTTTCGATGTAACCTGGAACTCAGTTTTTCTTTCTCCTGGGATCACACGCGCGGAGGCGGCGGCGGTCGGAAGGTTGGAGAATTTCGGCTTCAGGCCAGGGCCATTGATCCGATCTACGCCCAGGCCGCCGAGGAGGGGCTGGAATGGTTCGTGGCGCGATGGCAGTTTGAGGAGGCAGTGCCAGGACTCCCTGCATACATGCAGGAAGCCTTCAACAGTGGCCGGAACGGAGAGACTTCAAACGACCGTTCAGAGCCTCATGCAGATCCACAACAGGGGCGTGGATAATCACAAGCTGTACAACGACCACAGGTGGGACGGCGTGATCAAGAGCATGGAGTCGCCGAAACCACATTTGAAAGGGAAGGTTGTCGACCTCTGCGAGTTCGTCAAGAAATGGTCTGGTGGGCCCGATGCTTGCTACCTCAAGAACTTAGACGCGTGGGCCAAAACATCGCGGTACCGCAAGGAAGTATCGGGCGCCACATTCAGGGCGTTGGCGTCCTTGGGCTTCTGCCGAGGACCCGAGCTGGTGATAGCCATGCTGAAAGCGTGCACGATCAGCCTTGAGCCTTACACATCAGCGGGGGTGTCCAAGCTGCTGAGCTCGACAGATCTCGGAAGCGCGCTGACCAAACACAAGGAGGAGGTGCTGAAGTTCGCCGCCGCCATTCGGTCTGCCAAGGCGTGGCCGGAGGACCTCCGACGCGAGGATATGTACCAGGGCATCGGCGCCGTCGACGTGACGAAGGCGCTGGGGGACATGGAGGTCAGGTCGGCGACGTTCGTGATGAACCAAAAAATGCAGGTCACGACGTGCATTCACCTCGCTGGACGAGATAGCGCTGCAATTCTTGGAGGACATGCACGCGGTGCGCCCTGAAAGCCGCGCTGCCCCTGCGCCGTTCAGGGCCGTCTTGCAGAAGAGGGCATCGTCTCCAAAGGCGCCCAAGCGCGTCGATCCTGCGACGATGTACTTCAGCGCCGACGGCGGCATCAACATGAAGTACCTCGCACCCCTTCAGCTGCAGGTCGGGGGCATCGCGGAGCCCAAGAAAGAGGATGAGAACGTCGTCTGGTACAGGGTCCTGGACTCGAGCGCTCACACGCGCGCGTTGCGGGAGCTGCACGAGGACGAGTGCAAGGGGGGCAGCGACGACGAGGCCGACGAGACCAAGGATGACCAGCACGGCGTCAAGAACGAGGCTGAGGTCTCGCAGAAGCTCGAGTTGTCAACTGGCGCGCTGGCCGACGACTACAAGGCCGCACGCATCGTTGTCTTGCATTGCTTCCACTCCTTGAGAACAGAACGAGGAGGAGAAGGAGGAGAAGGAGGACAATGAAAAACCATGCCTTTTTTTGGATTTCCCCTGGCCAGCAAGGCCCAACACCCCAGGAACAGTTCGAAGGCGCGCATGGCCAACGAGGCCGCGCCCCCCCCTCGCCCCCCCCTCTGCCGCGGCCAGGCGGTTCTGAAGACCGAGTGCGTCAGCGCCATCGTCGACCCCACGGCGGCTTCGGCGCTGGACCGCCGCCGCAACCAGGGGGCAGGGTGAGGGGGGAGAGCGGGAGAGGAGATTCGGAGGAGGAAGAGGAGGAGGGAGGATGGGAGGGTAGGAGGGGGGGATGGCGCGACGATGGCTGGCAATGGTGTTGCCCAATCTGGCAGCGGTGAAGTAGCGCGAAGATAGCGTTGTCTTGGCAGTGATTCTGAGGGGCAGAGCGGGGCCATGATGGGGGGAGTGCGCTGCCCGAAGGACAACGAGGACGTCTGCCTGGAGCGCTCGAAGGCCAGGGCGCGCCAGGGTTTGTGCGAGGCGCGCAGTGCATGCGAGGGGGTCGTAGATCTCAGGGCCGTGGATGCTGCGAAAGGTAAGCCTGTAGTCCGCAAGGTTGTCACTCGTCGGTCTTACGAGAAAGGAGAGCTCATTATCGTGCCACTGCCCCCGGGTGCAGGCGCCGCTACCAAGCCCCCTCAGAGTGCGCTGGTGGTGGATGGATTCGGGGCCCCTCCTGGTTATCCTGGTTATGTGGCCTACATGATGCCCCACTTGGCGCTGCCGCAGCCGACGCCAGCTGATGGTACGCCTCAGGGGGCGCAAGCCAAGAAGGACAAGGATAAGGGCCCATTCGTTGCCCCCTACTGGTGCATCCCAGAGGCCGACGAGGGCGAAGTAGGAGAGCTCCAGCCCTGCAAGTTGAGGATTGAGATTTGTTGCAGTAGCGAGAAGTGGTCTACGGCTTCCACCAAGACCACGGTAGTCATCCCCGCCGTATCGAATCCTAAGAAGATTTCGGAGGGTACTGTTTTGCGTCGTTCCGACGCGCTCAAAAAGCCAACGCCCGAAAAGGCCAGCCCGAAGAACCGCAAGCAGGCCGAGCCGAGTTCGGGGAAGGCCGGGAAGTTTAAGTTTAGCGAGTTGCTTTTCTAGGTGTTGGGCATTGCTTCACTGCTCGACGGACCGTTTGCCACGTCGTTTGTTGTGCCCGCTCCCGTAGCCAGGGTGGCCCTTCAGCACGATTGAGCGAGTTGGTTGGGAGGTTGATGGGGAAGGCAGTGTAGGAGGAAGGACAGACGCGGTTGTCGATGATGTGCGATGGGCTCCCTGGTACATCCTTGCACTTCCATTGATGCGCAATGGAGATGCGATTGCGGTTTTTCCGCTGCGCGCAAGGCCCGGGTGGTTTACATATGGCGCACTGTTGCTCGACGGGCTGGGGATTGGGCCGATCCCATCAGACCCCTTCTTCGCGTTATAGTTGTGGAGTTTCCCCTGCCGCTGCAGCTCTCAATTGCGCCGTGCACGATCAGCCCAGAGCGCAGGGCGAAGTTTCGAGAGCGTCGAGCGGGCTTGAAGCGCCGCCACACGCAAGTGCGAGCAAAATGGTAAATGACGACACACAAGGTGGAGTGGGAGGGGGAGGGAGCAGACAGAGTAATAGGCTGGAGGGCAGGGGCGAGGGAGAGCACGTTATGTCATACCCCACAGAGACGCGAGGGGGGGAACGTCACCCCCCCCCGCTTGCTTTGCTGTGGCAACATATGAACCTAGCAAATACACGCCTCCCCCACCCCACACACATTGAGAAATGCACGACGGACATCGCACCAGCCAATGGCCCCAAACAGCCCCAAACAGCACACTGCATTGGTTTGATTCGTAAGCGTTGTCTCATCGTCTCTTGTCCAAGGCATTCACGGGCGGGCCTGGGCTGTCGATTAGTGGTCTCACATGGGTTTCTGGCCCAAGGCTTTCATGGAAGGACCTGGGATCTCTTCAGCGTACATCGGTCGTCGAGCCGCTGGGGGCCCAACCTGAACGACGCCCCTCCTCACCATCCCTCCCCTGCTTCCTCGTGACTCCTGCCATTTTTTGGTACAAGTGTCTGCGGTGCCGTCAAGGCAGTTTCGTGAGCCGTCCGCTTACCTCCCTGTGCGCATCAGTCAGCAGCGATGCCATTGACGATTTCCGAAGGATACGCGTATCTCTCGACAGCTCGCAACCCTACGACCCGCAACAGTTGGGCGGTGAGGGTGGAGCACAAGTTGAACAAGAAATGTGTCGTCTGCGACCGCGGCGATAGCCAGTTTCACCACTTGGTGAAAGGTGATTTCTCGATGCTCGAACACATTCAGCAGCTCAGGGCCAACGCGTGCGAGCATCTGATGAAACACCTTGGGGTCGACAAGGATGACCAGTTCGCTGAGGGGGCCGAGAACCCCGAGGAGGCCCCGCTCCCCAGGAGGCCCAAGAAAGACATGGTCGATGACATTGCAGGTCCCCCCGCAGAAACATACTGGGGGAATCAAGGACGGAGGGGGGGGAGGGGGGGGAGGAGCATAGGGGCAACCAGTCAAGGCATGAGAGCGATGGGGGGGACAGGAAGGACGAATGAAGTAGGATGGGGGATGGAGGAGGCAGATGATATGAGCCTGCCGTGTCGCCGGACATGTCGCTACTAGGTCGCGTGGACCTCGAGGTTTTCAGCGAGGATGGTGGACGCCACAGCGCCACTGTGCTTGCTGCCCCCAGACGCTCGAACTAAGCTGACCATCGAGCTGACGGAGGCAAACACGACGCTTCTGAGTCTCAAGCCCAAGATGGACAAGGCCCCAGGGCCCACTGATTTCAAACCGAAAATCCCACAGCCAAGCGTCAAGCGGTTGCCCAGCAGGCTTTTTTTTTCTCAGGGTGAACTATTGCAGCACGGATTTGAAGAAGTGGGCAACCAAGACGCACAAAATTATTACTCTCAGCGACCACCATGGGGCCATCCAGGAACTGATCGACAAGGCTGCGAAAGAGCTCCATGATTTTAACGATGAGCATCACACGGACCCCAAGCACGTGTCGAAGGATGAAGGCCATCCTCACCACGTCCTCCATCCTGCTCCTCGTTCTATAGTAAAAGCTGAGCATGGTCAAGACTATAGTCTTGCCCACGCTCAGCTCATTCATCTCACCCTCAAGTGTCCTCCCAAACACATGTAGCATCTCCCTTCAGGCGAAAGCGTCTCGGACTGAGCTTGGCTGGAATGGTCAGTGCGTGTGCGCTAGTGCGTTCGCGTACGTTATATAGGAGGCTGTGTCTTGGTACGCGCTGAATCAGCCATCAAGGCATCGTGCATCATGTAGGTAATACCTGGTGCCTTTTGGAGAAGTGTCTTGCACTGACTGTGCAGGGTACGATGTACTTCTGTCAACCACAGCATGGGCGCGCATACGCTCGTAGAAAAATTAAGACGAGACGTGTCACATGTTGATTCAGATTGCGTTCGGCTGGCTCTTGTTTCAGAAACCGTGAAGGGCAATTTGCAATCTGATCATGGTTCCGCTCATGCAAATCCACAAGAAACAACAAATCACACACCATTCCCTGAAAGGAAACACAAGACAACATGCAGATCGCAAGCAGCGAAACCACCCTCACACGGCGGAGCCCGGATCTCCAGCCAGGAGTCCCAATCGTTGCTCAGGGGTTGGAACCCGAGTTCCAACCTCTGTTCAGAGGTTGGAAACTCCAAAATGCGAGTCCCAACCCTTGGTCAGAGGTTGGAACTCGAGTTCCAGCCCCCCGGCAGAGGTTGGAGCTCGGTTTCCAACCCCTGAGCAGCGATTGGGACTCCTGAGGTGATTTCAAGCGATGCCATCCGTGCAAGCGCCGTGCCGTGCAATCTGGTATATTCGCATGCTATACTGTGATGATTTGCGATGCTACGCTGTGCCTCAGCAAAGAATCGCGCGGCAACTTCGAGCCCATTTTCGCGGTGCCATGCCGTGCCGTGCAGCAACAACTCAGTGACAGAGATGCCTGAAAGCATGTGTGATGTATATCTGCAATGCTGCATCTCATGCCTCCTCCGCCCCTCCATCACGCGCTTCGTGTCTCAATTGGCTGTCCTCTCACACTCATGTCCTCCTGCATCCTCTGGTGCTCAATCTTGCTCTACAGCATATGACACACTCTCCTTCTGCTCCTCATCCTTTCCTCCGCCTCCACGCTTGCAGTCGTTAGCCGTTTTGGCTCATTTTTTTTCGGAGGTATACCTGGTCTTGATACTTCTGCTCAGCTCGTCAGAACTTTGCTGGCCATGAGCGTAGCCGACACGCTGATCGGCATGGTCCGCAGCCGAGTCCAGTTCGCACTGGCCCAGTCGAGCGCTGGCCTGAGCAAGGAGCAGCTGCTCTGCTCGCAGGCACATGCCCTGGTGATCGCTATCAAGAACACCCAGGGCGTATCGTTTGACGAAGCCATGCTCGTGACGAAAGAGGTTGCAACTGGTCCATGGTCCGACGATGACAAGGCCCTCATCGCCGCGGCGCTGTCCAACGCAGCTTGCGACCCTCAGGATGGCGGGCTGCCGCGTGCGCAGCAAACGTTCAAGGGCCCTCACAACTTCCTCTCGGCTTCGGAGTGGGTGGGTCTCCAAGACATGTCACTGTCTTTCTCAGCCAAGCTCCAGATCATCTCCAATAGGACGTGGAGGGCTGGGGTGAGTTGCCCTGGCCAGAAGGCGCAAGCCAGAGGCGTAGCGCCGGCAGTTACGATGTCTCCTGGTGTTGATGTCACGACGGCGACGTCGCAAACATTCGTGGCTTGGATGAAGCAGTTCCAGTCCAACATCAAGCGGCCCGACGCAAGTCGGCCATGGCCTTTTGAGCACCGCAAGGATTTGCCCATGCTCCCGTCGGACCTGCACAGCGACATGTTGACCTACTCCTTCGGCAGTGATCTGCCGACGCGCCCCCCCCTCGGACTTCGACGAGCTGGCGCATGAACAACTCGCAGAGAGCATGGGTTGTAGAAACACCCACTCTACGCTCAGGGGGGCAGGCTCACCGGGATCGACACCTCTGTCGTCCAGCGTTGCGGCGGCTGCGCGAGGCTTCAACATGATGGAGCAAATGCTGCAACTCCAGCAGATGCACCAGATGCACCAACAGTTCGGGCATCAATTCGGCTTCGGGATACAGGGCGCGCCCAATCAGTTCGCCAACCAGTTCGGCAACGTCTTCAACCCATGTCGCCAGCAGCAGGGGTGCAACGTTACGCT